CTACCAGAAAACTTACATAAATACCCTTTAACTTCCTGCGACGGCGTTCAATCCAGCATGTCCTGTATATCACTCCTCCTCTCCTCCCTCTCTCCACTCATCTCCCTAAACCTCCTTCTTAATCCTCTATTGAGTTGCCAGTGCGCACTATCATTCTCAAAACTCCGTGGAGATTTGGGCGAGGGTGCGTTTGAAATATGCATCGGCGCACCCCTCCGTGAGAAGCGTGAGGATATGAGCTGTCATGTCCGATCACTCCGCCTGCTCCCGGTACAGGGCCCAGGGCACTCGGCGCAAGATGAAGGTCTGTACGTGACTCATGTATTTTTACGGAGCGCTCCTCGGATGTCTCCTCACTCGATATTTTTCAGTTTTTCGGAATAAAGTTGGAGAAGGTTTTTATGAATCCATCGGGGCGCCAAATGTTATCAGAAAAGAGCAGATTGGAGGTATTGTTCAGTACAGCGGTGTGAAAGTTATTGGCTGTTTTTTTTTCTCAGCGATACACGTTGTACTTGAAAATATATGAAACAAAACAGTAGCTTACTCTGATGTGCAAATATATACCGAAATAAAAACATAAAAAAGGTGCAAATGCAGGAAAAGCAACTTCAAAAATAGTGCAGAATAACACCCAGGTGGCGTTTTGTCATACAGGATTTCTACAAACCAAATGAGTCTTTCAATTCATAAATCTACATGCAATAGCGATACTTTGCAGTGACATTACGTTGGGGGTGTTCTACGTGTATTTCTAACGAGGAATGTTTAGGTGTTACCATGGTGACACAATGCACACACCTGCAACCACTGTCAAAAACAAAACAGACATCATCCGTCTCCTATTTACAACTCCATCCTCAAACCTAAAACAAAACAAACAAAGAAACCAACAGGGATATCCAGGTCAGGTCCAGAGGTGTGGAAGCTCCATTATCGACCTGAATGATTCTGTTAATAAGACCCCAGACTCAGTGCAAGTTCAATAAGCTGAGCTAAAAACAGAAACTGTAAACAATTAGGTATGTTTCAGAGTAGTTTCAGTGTAGTTATCTCCTCCCTTCAGGCAGATATAAGGAAGTGTTCACCAGCGTCTGACCAGGACTGAAGAAGCAGCTTGGATGAACTGTGAAAAAAAATAAACGTTTGTCCAGACAAATTGAATTTCTCCTTTTTCCACTGACAATTATTTTTTTTGACTGTCTTGAGTTGTGAATTGTTTAAGTAACCTTTTATGAAAAATTGGAAACTGGAAAAAGGCACTGGAAAGGTTCATTTGTGATTGTAGTATCTCTAAAAAGTGCAGGCTACATAAATTTCCTTTAAAATATGATAAGATAAAAGAATTGTTTAAAATTTGTCCTTGAATAGAATTAAAACCTGAAATGGAGAAGAAAAAAATGTCTCTTAACCCTCTCAGGCTCAAATTAATTTTTAGTATCAGGAAAAATCTGATATTTGGGGAAAATTATAATATTGGGTAGTAATATACAGTCCTGACTTTTTTATCCTTTGTAAAAAAAAAAAAAAAAAGTATTTTGCACTTCTGGCAGGTCGTTTGCGTGTAGCCATTCTTGCACAGTCTGCATCGCCCACGTTTATCAGCACGGATGAGAGAAAAGGCTCCTGAGTTAAAAAAGCTCATAAAATATGGATGTGGAGTAAGTAGGTAATTGGCATTTAGTTGTTGCAAATCTGCAACGCCTGCCTGGAGAGGGTTAAAGCTCCAATATTACACGAAATTGACTCTTGTGAGCTTTAAGCCATGTTATAATGCTGTTACCTCATCAAAAACATACTGGAGGTGTGTTTTGTTTTATTCACATGTTTAACTAACCCTGGTTTATTAGTCTGTCCACATCTCCAAAGCTCAAAATGCTCTGTTTCACCTTGTGATGTCATGAAGCGGTAGTTTTGAAGTTAACAGCAGTGTTGGGGACGTTAGTTTAAAAAGTAGTGTTTGCTCGTTACTCTTTACTTCTTTAAAAAGTAATCCCTTACTTACTTCACTTAGTTGCCTTCTATGGAAAATAACTTTTTACGTTAGTCTTTACTTTGGTAACGTTTTGGTGGTAAACTCCATCTAAGGCTAAATACCGACACAAGACCCGCAGTCGACAAGTGCCGTAAGTGAAAGTTGAAAAGAACTTCAAAAGAGAATTCAAGAGGACATCAATCATCAATCAATCAATCAAACTTTATTTATAGAGCGCTTTTCATACAAAAACTGCAACACAACGTGCTTTACAGTTCACAGTTTGGTCTTGAGATTCCTATTTGTGACATAATGATCTTTTTTACAACTAACTATCTGGAATCGTTTAGAGGCAAACGGGTGGGGTCCACGCGGTCTACCCTGGGGGATTCATCTCGGCGAGCAAGGGACGGCCGCTCTGTGCTCGGTTAACACTGGGTAACAGCTACATTTTGCCTTTAGTTCAGTAGAAATTGGCAATTCCAGGGCTGAAATCATCCAAAATGATTCTCATGAAGGTGTGTGGAGTTTAAAAACGCAGTGGAGCACTTCCTGTATTACCGCATCACAAGGTGGAACCAAGTATTTTCAGTTTGCGAAAAGAAGTCATCCTAAATATGCAGGGTTTGTGTGTTAAAAATGTGTGAATGAAGCTAAACAAAACACAACTCGCAGGTTTGTTTGTAGTGAGGAAACATTAAAACATAAAAAACTGCATAATATGGGCCCTTTAAGTGGAAAAGTAGATTTCAAGTTTGACAGCCGACATAGTTAAATCTGTATATACAAAACACCAGTGTGTATCAGAAAATCAACATTGACAAGTAGCGCCGTTAGCAGCTGTGTGATGCAGGAAATCTTAAGTAATGGTCTTAATGATATCTGATATATCTGTGAGAGCGTAGTCAGGTTTTGAGGTGCCTGGATTTCATTAAAACTTCACTTCCAGCAGTGAGGAAGCTAATATCTTTTTGATTGAAACAGTGTGAACCCAAGAGCTGACAATCTGTTCTCCTGACAAATATTCCAACAATAGAAGCAGCTGTGAGGACTTCTACTCCTTCACTGTGGATAATTTGCAACAGAAATCACAATGTTACTTTAGAATCACAATGGTATCAGCTATTAGTATGCAGAAACTTTTGTGAAGAAAATACAGAGAACTTTCACTTGCATTTTCTATGGGTCTGTATTATATGTTTTAAAGGTGCACTGTGTAACTTTTCTGGTGGAGGGGCCGCCTGGAATGGTCCACAGTAAAGCATTACCGTATTGTTTGGAGTATAAGTCTCACCAGCCATAAAATGCATAATGAAGAAGAAAAAAACATATATAAGTCTTACAGGACTATAAGTCACACTTTTTGGGGAAATGTATTTTATAAAATCAGTGACCAGAAACTGACATTTCATCTTGAAAGTCAAGTTCTAGTGAAAACAATAGAACAGAGAACAACAGACTGTTTACGTCACATATGAACAGTTCTTCAGATAAACTATAACATAAACAACAGAACAGAACAAGTTTAACAAACTCTCCATCTCACTCCAAATCACTAAATCCATTCAATTCTACATCCTCAAGTGTCACTTCTGAACAACTCCACGACCTTCGGAGGTAAACAGAGCATAAGCTGTCATCAGACTCAGTATCAGTTCCAGTTAGAATTATTCCGGCCTTTCTGAATCCCGACAGGATGGTTTTGGTGTCACTGAAGTCCAGACTTTGTCCATCCGTCCGGTGACTTCCAGGAAAGTTTCATGGTGCATCCTCCTGGTGTCAGAAGTTTCTGTCTCACTCTAAACTTTCTTTCTGCTGCTCGATTACTGTTTTCGGCTGCAGATTTCGCTACTTGCATCTTGTAATCTGCAAAATATGGTTTTCTTCTCAGTCGTCTTTATACGTTTATTTAAATGTTATATTTTCAGTGGTACAGAAGTAATGTTGCGATCGACTGACATGATACAGACAGGACAGAGGCTCTTTCTGCAGGAGACATGCGCAGTAGAGTGAAGTGACAGTGGTACAAGAGGAACAGGAGCAGCAGATACTGACACACAAGTCTAGAGCCTCTCGAGACTGTCAATATGAAAATTTTAATATATAAGTCGCACCGGAGTATAAGTTGCAGGAAACACCCAAACCATGAAAAAAGTGTGACTTATAGGGCAAAAAATTTACAAAAAAACATATTTCCTTGCATTTGTTCAATTCCAGGTGTTTTATAGCTCAAAAATACCTTAAAAATAGGAAGTATTACCATGTTCAGGCTTGCGTTTCCATAGATCTGACCATTAGCCTGTCTCTATTGTGATTACCAAGTTTATTTCCATACTGTGGAATAATCAAGGCAAAACGGCAATATCACGGTGACAGATCCTCCGCTATAAAAGATACACAGTGCACTTTTAAGACTATAAAAGTGGTTGCTGCTAACTTTTTGTGAAATAAGATGGAGGAGGGGTCTGTCACCTACTTGTCTCCATGGAGATGCTGTTGCTTTGCCTAGAATGTTCCACTGTCTGGCATTAAATTTACCGTATAAATCTTTCTTCATGATTTATTAAGTTTTAGTCGGTGTAGTTACTTTGCTGTGTTACCAACTTATCTCCATTAAGGAAAATCTGTTGCACCAAGAGGCCAGGTTCCATATCAGATCTGTGGAGAGGTGAACCTGCTCACAATAAGAACACAAGATGATTTTGAGCGATTAAAACCAACTTAATAAATGCAAGATAGACAAATTTCTGTGGAACACTGCAGGCAAAGCTAAAAGATTGTGATGGATGAACTTCCCTCCAGAAAAGTTCCATAATGCACTTGTAAGTAAAGACCACACCAACTAAAAGGTCTTCTCGTCCTTACAAATCCGTCTCTTTACGTCCAAGGATAAAGCTATAATAATCTATTTCATTTCTTGGCTGGACTTGAGCCCGTCTCAATCACCACAATATTACATTATAGCTTCAATTACTATACGTGGATTAGCCGCTCCTAAGTACCTCTTTTTTCTTCTTTTCTGCAGAATAAGATGTTCATATACCGGGGGAAAGAGTACGAGAGGAGAGAGGACTTCGAAGCTCGTCTGCTCACTCAGTTTCCCAACGCGGAGAAGATGAAGACCACCACTCCCCCTAGCGAGGAGACCAAGAACTCACCTGGACAATGTATCCTTTCCTAGTTTCTTTTTTAAAATTAATTTATTTTTTAAAATGTAAATATAGTTTTAAAAAATTAGGCAAATATCCAATCTAAATATAGTACATTTTTAAAATTTTCTGTATCTGTCTCTCTAGGATTTTGTCTTGTCATAATAACATTTAGATATCACTGTAACTGTAGACTTTTTATAGATTAATTCATAATTTTAGATGTATTTTTTGACTTATTTGGGCCATACTTGGAATTTTGAGCAACTTAAGTCCAGGTTTGAGGCATGTTTAACTTAATTTTTAGATATGAGGCTTCTGTACTTTGAGTTTTCACCCAATGTGAGTTTGTGGTTCAGATTTAAGGCAAACCATAGGAAATTCTTTCAGTAATTTGAGTTGATCTTTTGACCCATTGAGACGATTATAATTGGGATTTTTAGCGACTTAAGTCCAGGTTTGAGACATGTTGAGCTTAATTTTAGATGTGAATTGAAGTTTTGTCCCTCTCAGGCCTCCGTACTATGAGTTTTCACCCAATCTGAGTTTGTAGTTTAGGTTTAAAGCAAACTCTATCTGTAATTTTAGTTGATTTTTGACCTATTGAGGCTTTTGCTCTTGTTTTCTTAGCCTCATGATCCTCTGAGGCTTCCATAGTTTGAGCTTGATTTGAAATTTGGCCCTTTGATATTGCTGCTTTCCCGCTAATGTTTCGCATTATGGCATTAAGCTTTTATTACCATGGAGACCAAAGCCAATCAAATGAACGACGAACGGGAGAAAAATACTTAAACGCGCATCCAGGACGTCCGTTGCCCTGGAAACAAGAGCCATTTCCCGGTCTGATCCCAGAACCATGGCTGAGAGGTTGCAAGAGACTTTAGTATATTTATTACATAAACACATCAGCGAAGGTGATGGGCTCAGCGGCGGCCCCCTTGGTTTAGTCCTGGTTTAGTCTTGGTTTAGTCCTGGTTTAGACCTGGTCCAGTCCTGGCTAAGTGCTGGTTAAGTCCTGGTGTAGTTCTGGTTTATTCGTGGTTCAGTCCTGGTCCAGTCCTGGTGTAGTCCTGGTGTAGTCCTGGTCACGTCCTGGTTTAGCCATGGTTCAGTCCTGGTCCAGTCCTGGCAATCGGCTTTGTGGTTGCGGCGTGTATATATATATATTAGTGCTAATGACACTGGTTTAGTCCTGGTTAAGTGCTGGTTAAGTCCTGCTTAAGTCCTGGATTATTCCTGGTTTGGACCTAGTTTAGTCCTGGTCCAGTCCTGGTCCAGTCCTGGTCCAGTCCTGGTCCAGTCCTGGTCCAGTCCTGGCGACTGTCTTGGTGGTTGCAGCGTGTATATATTTATATTAATGATACTGGTTCAGTCCTGGTTCAGTCCTGGTCCAGTCCTGGTATAGTCCTGGTATAGTCCTGGTATAGTCCTGGTATAGTCCTGGCGATTGGCTTGGTGGTTGCAGCGTGTGTATATATATATTAATGATACTGGTTCAGTCCTGGTCCAGTCCTGGTATAGTCCTGGTATAGTCCTGGTCCAGTCCTGGTATAGTCCTGGTATAGTCCTGGTATAGTCCTGGTATAGTCCTGGCGATTGGCTTGGTGGTTGCAGCGTGTATATATTTATATTAATGATACTGGTTCAGTCCTGGTCCAGTCCTGGTCTAGTCCTGCTATAGTCCTGGTCCAGTCCTGGTCCAGTCCTGGTATAGTCCTGGTATAGTCCTGGTATAGTCCTGGTATAGTCCTGGTATAGTCCTGGCGATTGGCTTGGTGGTTGCAGCGTGTATATATTTATATTAATGATACTGGTTTAGTCCTGGTCCAGTCCAGGTGTAGTCCTGGGGATCAGCTCTGTGGTTGCGTCATGTATATATTTATAATCCACTAATGACATGGGGTAGGTTTAGTCCTGGTTTAGTCCTGGTTTAGTCCTGGTTTAGTCCTGGTTTAGTCCTGAACTATTGGGCTGTCAGATTAATGTGCTGACCCCGATTTATCAGGGGCACAGGTGGATAATGGGTGGAATGTTAACGGGTCTGGGCCAAGTTACTGGTCAGATCTGTCGAGTGGTGGACCCAGCAGACTCAGAAGACTCCTGTAAATGAATAAATTACAGATACACAAGTTTAATGCCATACTGTGGAATATTCTAGCCAAATATCTCCACAAAAAAGAGCCATTAGCTGAACCCCCTATGGGAAAATTTACATAATGCAGCTTTAAAACTCAAACAAATACGAAATTGATTTTGAAAAGTTATAAATATGTTTAAAATCCGAGTTCAAACAGAAAAATAAACTGCTGGATTGGATCGTGAATCATCAAAGAGTAATTTTGAGTTAACTTTGGGTAGCCTCGGGGAAGTCTCATTTCTCTTGGCTCCTTTTATATTGGCCCAGTTCATTTGGTCTGTGTTTTTTTTTTTTTTTTTTTTTTTTCTTTCTTGCCATGTTTTGAGCGCAATTTTCTTAACAGTTTTTTGCCAAAGACATCCAGTGTTTCATAGTGAAGCCAATCCTAGACCTGCCTGCCAAGTTCCAAAACAAGTCTGTGTCAGAGCAGATTTTAAGGTAAGTAACTTCGCTACTTCAATCAAGTACACAGAGTTTGGTGTAAGATTTTGAGATACTCTGTAAGTCTGTATTCTTAGAAATTGTGTTGCTTTATTAACTACATAGTATTATTATTTTATATATTTTTAGAGAATATTAACTAGATTCATGTTACAGTCTTACATAGGTAGAGTCAAGTTGCCTTAGAACGTAGTAGTACTGTGGATGCAGTAGTAGTAGTAGTGGTAATGGTAACAGCAGTAGTAGTAAGTAAGTAAGTTTTTATTTATATAGTACTTTTCACAGACATATGCCACGAAGATGCTTTACAGATAATTTGATCATAGTATCAGTGTAGTAGTAGTAATGGTAGTAGCAGTAGTAGTTGTAGTACTAGTAGTAGTAGTAGTTGTAGTTGTAGTAGTATTGGTGGTAGTGATAGTATTAATAGTGATGGTGGTAATGATAGTAGTAGTAGTAGTAGTAGTAGTAGTAGTAGTAGTAGTGGTAATGGTAGTAGTAGTAGTAGTTGTAGTACTAGTAGTAGTAGTAGTAGTAGTAGTAGTAGTAGTAGTGTAGTAGTGGTAGAACTAATAGTAATGGTGGTAATGGTAGTAGTAGTAGTAGTAGTGGTAGTAGCAGTAGTAGTAGTAGTAGTAGTAGTATGAGTAGTAATAGGAGTAGTAGAAGTGGTGGTGGTACTGGTAGTAGTAGTGGTAGTAGTAGTAGTAGTAGTAGTAGTGTAGTAGTGGTAGAACTAATAGTAATGGTGGTAATGGTAGTAGTAGTAGTAGTAGTAGTAGTAGTAGTAGTGGTAGTAGCAGCAGTAGTAGTAGTAGTAGTAGTAGTAGGAGTAGTAGAAGTGGTGGTGGTAGTAGTAGTAGTAGTAATAGTAGTAATTAAAGTAATAGTAATAGTCGTAGTGGTAGTAATAGTAATAATCGTAGTAGTGGTAGTAGTTGTAGTGGTAGTGGTAGTAGCAGTAGTAGTAGTAGTAGGAGTAGTAGGAGTAGTAGAAGTGGTGGTGGTACTGGTAGTAGTAGTGGTAGTAGTAGTAGTAGTAATAGTAGTAATTAAAGTAATAGTAATAGTCGTAGTGGTAGTAATAGTAATAATCGTAGTAGTGGTGGTAATGGTAGTAGTGGTAGTAGTTGTAGTGGTAGTGGTAGTAGTAGCAGTAGTAGTAGAAGCTGAAGTAGTAGTTGTAGTTGAACTGACAGCAGAAAAACAATTGTAGTAATTAATGAATATAGTAGTAGGATTTGTATACGACATAATAATACAATGTAGTAACAGCAAGTGTGGCACTAAGTAAATCATAATTAATAAGTAAATACAGAATTTACCAATTTTACTTCTCACATTCTGAAGGAACTTTACTTCCAAATTATGGCTGCCTTAACACTATAGGTTTGGTCCTGGTTTAATCCTGATTCACATAGTCTTGGGCTGGTCCTCTTCTGGTCCAGGTTTAGTCACAGTTTAATAGGCGTCACCTCTCATGACAGTCGCCACGTTTACATGAGAGCTTTAATTCTGAAGAATAATAATAATTTAATTCTGAATAAAAATGTATTTCACTTTAAAAAGACCAAGTAAAGAGTTTGAACTTAAAGGTTGTATAGAGGATTTTCCAAGGAACGAGAAATCCAGCGACTGTTTGTCCTTTTTCAAATGTTGCGCATGCGTGAAACCACCCCCCCTCCCCCACAGCTCCTACGTAGAAACACCTCCTCCCGCCTCCTCCTTACGCCAGAAACAGGTTTGTTTACAGCCGGTGAGCTGCACATGACTTGTAAACAACTAACTACAGTGTTGGTTAGGCAAGACGGACAAGTGAGGAGTGGGGGGAGCGGGTGCGCGGACATTTCGTTCGCGGACGAGAAGTGAGGAGCAGGGAGAAGAGAGCGGAGCAGGGAGAGAGGAGAGAGGAGAGGAGAGGAGGAGAGAGGAGAGAGGAGAGGGAGAGGGAGCGGTGCGCGGAGATTCCGTGCCCGGAGAAGTGAGGAGCAGGGGGAAGAGCGGATCGGGCAGCGGGGACAGGAGCAGGAAAGGGGTGCAGAGAAGAGTGCGCGGAGATTCAGTGCGAATGAACTAACTACAACACGCAGCAGCAAGCGGACTCTTTCTTTGCCTTGAAAATTACGTTTTCAGACATAGGATATCGCTTTCGTGTCCTGAAAAACGTTTGACTAGCTCTTGGAAATAAAGTACGTTTTCATAATAAGCAGAAGTGACCTGTCCAGGAGTAATTTGGCGACCAGTGTGTCAGTCTTTAGACCCTGCGTCTGCTTCAGTCGCGCCATCGCTGGAATGAATCTTCAAGAATCACCAGTTTGGCTTCGCTGCTTTTCCCCTTGTCTTCTTCTTTCAGCGACCTCAAAAACTGACTTTCTTTTGCGGCTAACTGCTCCTGGATTCTTGTCGCCATTGCAACAAACTTTGTGCTAACTGCGAGGAAGATATAGGTCAAAAAAAGCCGCTAAGAACTGTTGCGTTGGTGGAGTAAACAGCGTCTGTGCGTCTTGCGTCTGTGGACTGCGTGACAGTCGTACGTAAACCACGTGCCGGCGGCGCGCAGGCAAGTCAGTTACGCTAGAAACGTAGGGAGATTGATTGACAGCCTGTCAGCTCACAGATAACGAGGCAGTGTCGTTATCTATTGGCAAATGTTTAGCCCCACCACGTCCAGAGTTGATGAATTTTTATTCTCTTTTTTTTGGTCATCATAAGGCTACTGCACCTCTATAATCTATCATTGACAACTTGAAACAAAAAAAAATCCTCCTTACAACCTTTAAAACTTAATCCCGAAGTAAGTGGGTGGTTTATTCCGATTTTAAAGCTGAATTCATTTATTCCTTGATCATCTTAACGTTTATTCTTCTTAAAAATAATTCCGGTCGTTCAGCGCATGCTCGTTGGTTCACCCTTCGATCCGGCTCCACCAGTCCTGGCATCGGACTTTTTGGATTTGCGAGCAGGATGCGGGAGTGGGCTGAGGTAGAGCGGCCGTCGACTCAGTTTGTCTTCTTCCTCCCTTCTCCGACTCTCCGACATTTGTAAAGCGTGACGATAGAAATCTCGAACTGCTGCTACATTATCATCGGAACGACTGCGGAACTTTTTTTTTTATCATGTTTGTGTCCGTGGCATCAACGACAAACCGAGATGACAAAAAAATCCGGTAGCGGCTGATGTTCGTATTTTCTTCCGGTCGACGTAAATACATTCGTGTCTCTGTCCGATCAGAACCCTTCCTGACCTCTAGACGTTAAGCGGAATTAAATAAAGGCGATTCCGAACTATTTAATTCAGAACAATTAATTTGGAATTTAAAAACATCACGTGATTGTGTGTAGAAAGTGGGTAAATGTTGAGTGGGACATGCCTGTGCGCTCTAAACAAACCCAGCTTGACCTTGGGCTCATTACAAACTCTGCTCCACCATCTGCCATGAGCCGCTACGCCGACTAGAACATCGTCTTCACTGCATCATTAATACAATGTTCTGCACCGTGGGCCCTCTCTCCTCTCTCCTCCCTTTTCTCTCTCTCTCTTTCCCCTCTTCTGCTGCTTCTGTTTTTCCTCTTCTGTCTGTTTATTGCTTTCTATATCTCTCTCTCCTCTGTTTCTGTTTCTATCCCCTTATTAATTAGTCTTTCTCTCCCTCAGCTCCTTAACTCTCTCTTTCTCTCTCTTACCCTTTCTCCTTCTTTTTTCTCCACTTCTTCCTCTCTTTTTCCCTTCCTCTCCCCTTCTCTCCATCCTTCTGTCTCTCCTCCTCTTTCCTTCCCCCTGTCTCTGTCCCCTTATCAGTTATTCTTTCTCTCCCTCTATCCTCCTCTCTTCTCCTTTACTCCCTCTCTTCTCCCTTTCTTTCACCCTCTCTCTCTATCATCCTCTCTTCCACTCTCTCTCTTCTCCTCTCTCTCTTCTCCACTCCCTCTCGTCTCTCTTCCTCTCCCCCTCCCCCTCTATCCTCCTCTCCTCCACTCTCTCTCTTCTCTTCTCTCTCTTCTCCACTCCCTCTTTTCTCCCTTCCTTTCACCCTCTCTCTCTATCATCCTCTCTTCCACTCTCTCTCTTCTCTTCTCTCTCTTCTCCACTCCCTCTTTTCTCCCTTCCTTTCACCCTCTCTCTCTATCATCCTCTCTTCCACTCTCTCTCTTCTCCACTCCTTCTCTTCTCCTCTCCCTCTCTCCTCCCTTCCTTTCACCCTCTCTTACCTCTTTCTTTCTCTTTCTCTCTCCCCTCCTTCTCTCTCCCTTCCTCTCACCCTCTCCCTCTATCCTCCTCTCCTCCACTCTCTCTCTCCTCCACTCCCTCTCTTCTCCCTTCCTTTCACCCTCTCTCTCTATCATCCTCTCTTCCACTCTCTCTCTCTTCTCCCTTCCTTTCACCCTCTCTTACCTCTTTCTTTCTCTTTTCTCTTTCTCTCTCCCCTCCTTCTCTCTCCCTTGCTCTCACCCTCCCTCTTTTTTCACTCTCCTCCTTCTCTCACCCCTCCCTCTGTCTTGTCTCTCTCCCTTTCTCCTTTCCTCCCTCTTCTCTCTCTCTCTCTCTCCTCTTTCATGCATCCCTCCTTTCTTCTTTTCGCTTTTCCTCCTCATCTCCAACTCTCTCCCGCAACCTTCTCTCTTTTTCCCCTACTTCATCTTTCTCTCTCTCTCCTCTTCTCTCTCCTCTGCTCTCCTCCTCTCTCTTGTTTCTTTCTTTTTTTTTTGCTCTTCCTCCCTCCCTTCCTCCCGCTCCTCGTCCTCTCCCCTCCTCTCCTCCTCTTTGATGCTTCCCCACCTCTCTTCCCTTAACTTTCCCTCCCCTTCCTCTCCCTCTTACACCCCTAACCCTCTCTCTTTTCATCTTCCCTCTCTTCCCTCCTTCCCCCTCTCCTTCGCTTGTTTGCCCAACCTGCTCCACCGCGCGCTCTCCTGTGTAAATCCACTTATCCGATCCACGCGCCGCATCGCTGGACATGATTAAAAAGAGACATTGACGCCGGGAATCCTTTAGGCAAA